TGAGAGGCACAGAAACATCTCAGGAACAGCAGCAGTGGAGTTTTGCCTGGCAGAGCCATTCCTCAGTGTGACATTCTGGCACTCCTGGCTGCACATACCTGCCTGCCATCCTGTCCCACGTTGGTCTGGCCCCTCACCACAGTTCGGATGTTGTCATCCAACCTCCTGCAGGAAAAAACCCAGAGTGTCAAACCCAGCCTTCAGTGAGCCTGACCCAAACAACTGGGGGAGCTACAGAACCAATTTAAAATAAAAAAGTTGATGTTACCAGTGCTAAACTCATTATTTCCCCCCTCCCTCTCTGTTCAATGGCGCTATCTTGCACAATTTAAAAGTCCTGTTGAAAAAATTAAAATCCATTTCCTAATTTAACCAGGGTTTCTTGCATTCCTGTTCCCTTAAGCAATATTGTCAGCTCTCTCTTGTCTGTTTGCCTTTCAACTTCCCACATATCAAAGTGCTGTCTCAATCATTTCATTTTGGCAATATCAGCCAGCACAGAAAATTTAAGTATTCCATGCCCACTTGTGTTTATTTTGTACTTTCAGGATCAATAATGACAATTCAAAAATACAGAGTGAGAATTTTTGCAATTTATATTCTGACCCCCAAACCACTGAATTCTTGGCAATTGAGTCTTTTGTGTAGTTTGCTCACTCAGCCTTCAAAGTGTAATAAAACTAGGTACTTTATGATTCTTAGTTGTTTTTCAAAGCTGCACTTTGCAGCTGAAGGGCACATAATAGAAGTGAAATACAAAAAATTATAGTTGTTTCTGTGCCATTATTAGACTTGAGGCTGGTCCTATCCATGCCTTTTAAACAAAAGAAATCCTGTCAGCTGTAGCACAAAAGCTGCATTTATGAAGCCTTGGTGACAATCAGACCAAGCCACCTGAGATGCAATGAAATGGAGAAATATTTACCTTATTTTCAATCTGATCTTGTTCACGACTTCATCAATGTTTGCCAAAGACTGGAACATTAAAAAAAAAAAAAATCAGAGAGAAATGAAATGGTGAATGTTTTACAGAGGAATATGTCAGCTGTGATTCCTAACACTTCATCACACAGGGGTCGTGAGGAAGAGGAGAGCAATGGCTTTGTTTTACAGGGGGAAGAACTGAGACAACAACACATCATAAAGAGCAGAAAAAGACAGCTCAGGACTCAGGGCTTCCTTGAGCTCTGCCTCGTCCTTTGTCAGCAAAACTGTGTGACAGTGACCTCCAGTGGGCAGTGGGGATGGGGAAGAGCCTTTGCCTTTGGGCTGAGACCCCCCTGCCGAGCCCAGACACGCAGAAAATAGGCTGGAAGGAGATGCAGGGAGGGCACTGCTGGGGAAACAGCTCCTCACTGCTGGCAAAGGGAAAAAAGCCAAGCCACACCACTAGAAAAAGCTGTGAGCCAAAAACCACCGGTGCTGCAGAGGATCTCAGGCGTGGTAAATGCTGGGGCAGCCTCACAACACAAACTTCACCTGTAGAAACGTCTCTGTTCTGCAAGAGGTTAATCCAAAACTCCCCCCGGGGCCGAAGTTGGGAACACAAAGCAGGGATGGGTGCCCACAGAAATCCCATCCTTTACATTTCAAAAGAAACAATAGGAGGTCAAACTCTCCTGTGACATTGTACAGGCAACACCTGCCTGGTTTGGCTGAAAACCCCAGGAACTCACCAATGATTGATATATGAAATTTACTCCATCTACATAGAAAATTAATTTATTTCTACAGATCAAAGCAGGATTTTAACTGCAGCAAGCACTCTGGGTGGAAAGAGACCACACAATGACAGCAAACCCTGTGAGCTGCAAATTTAAGACGTGATTATTGTTAAAACTTTATTTCCTGTGCTAGTGTTTAAAATAAAAGGTTTGGGTACAGGTTTAAACACTGCTTTGGTCATTTGCTATCAGGTTATCCTGATAGTAAAGGGTGGAAGTAAAATCTGATAGTAAAAAGTAAAAAAAAAAAAAATCTGAAAGTAAAGTCTGAGAGTATTTAGAGCATTACTTACTTGCTCAGTGGGAAAGAGAGCATTAATATATTCCACAGCATTGAAATCTGCTCTGTCCAGTGGATCTTGGCTGGGAAATACCTAGAGAGAGGGAGGAAAACAAACACAATCAACCATCATCAATTAGTCCTGTAACTTTGCACAGTTTCTACTACTTTTAATTCCTTCAGAACCCACTTCCAGTCGTGTTTCACAGCACTGCTCTAACAAGTGGCCAGGAGTAGAGCAGCCACATGCTCTGCTGGGCTCTGACCTCCCAAAATTACTGTGGATATCAGCCTGGATAAACACAGATCATTCACACACACGATTCCACACACAGCCCTGGCACAATCCATCGAGGAATTCCCAAGACACATGAGCCACTAATGCATCCCAAAGCATCCTGAGGCTTTTGTTGCTGTCTGGGAACAAGCTGAGCCCTGCTCTTGGCAAGAGCTTTGCCAGCCCTCGTGGTGACAGACAGAGGGTTTGCTTTCCACAGCCATGTAATAGGAAACGTGATGAATTAAGGAGTGGTTGTACAAGTTCTCTGGAGACCTGGGTTTGCCACTTTTCACAAAAGAGGGAGAGAAACACAATCTGCTGAATGATTTGGGAAGGGGGAAAGAGCAGCTGTGGTGCAAAGAGATCTCATCTGTCCTCAGAAGTTCAAACAACACAAACACAACTGCCAGGCTTTGCTTTTTGGCCCCACAGACTGAAGTGTGGTGCTCTCCCTTCTCTGCTACCACACTGGAGCTGAGGATGTCCCATCACTGGAAGAGTTCAAGGTCAGTCTGGATGAGGTTTGGAGCAACCCGGGATGGTGGAAGGTGTGCAAGAAATGAGATGGTCCTTAAGGTCCCTTCCAACCCAAAGTATTCCATGATTCTGTGATATTTGTCCCATATTTACAGAGCCATCAGCTCTGCACTCCGTGGCCAACAAATCCCCTGCTAAAAACAAAGCTGATCCCACAGCATCCCCCTGCTCACTGAAAGCCTTCACACCTGGGCACTGAAGCATTTCCGCTATTTTACACATTTTGCACTGTAAAATCGGTGATTCTGTGAGATAAAAGCAGATTCCTCCTGAACCAGCCCTCCTGGGAAGCTCTCCCAGTCACTCAGCAGCAGTTAAACATGCATGAGGTTGTGGTGAGTGAGGAAAACGCTCTGACATCACCCCATCCAAAGAGCACAACTGCAGCATCACACCCAGCCTGTCCTGCTCACAGCTCACACTCAATCCCCACAAACCCCAAATCTCCATAAGTATTAAGAGCAGATGAAACAAGAGGCGAGATGGGAGATAAAGAACTCGGGAACTCCACTCAAACTGCAGATAGGGATCATTGCTGCAGGCAGCTGGAGCAGCTGCAGGAGCTGTCACTCCCAGGAGTTTGTCACAAGCCATTAATCAGAAATGCTGGCCTGGGTTTGGTGGGGCACCAGTTCTGCCTGTGCTCCCCACCCTGCTTCCGGCAGGGCAGCTGAGCCAGCTCTGCTCCTTTAACCAGAACTGGGCACGTTTTGCCCAAAACTGGTTATGGGACACTGACAGGAACAACGGGATTCTTGGGCTGAGAAGTGCCAGAGAGGAAGCTGGAAAGCAGCACGTGGTGTCATCCTCAACATCTCCCAGTGCTCAGGATGTGAATATTTTCCTACAGCTTTACTGTTTGTTAAAGTAATTCAGCCAGACGTGTGGTGGATTCTCCACTGCTCCAAAAACTCATGTCTACAAGTGCAGAGGATTCTTCCTCTGGCGAGGCTTTAGGTTTTCTTTAGAAGCTGCCATTTAATTTATCAGTTCCCAAGGTCTCCCCTTGGTCTTCGAGGAGGGCCACCAAAAGCGACCCACAAACCTCAGCACTGAAGAAAGTGCAAAAACTTATTTGAGTGCTACTTTGTGAGACGGACACTGCTGCTGCCCAGACTTCGGCTACAGGGAAGAGCCCTGGAGATGGAAGGGTTGGCTCAGTCACACAGGACAAGAGCCACGGTTTTACCCGGGCTTCTCACGGGATTCTGATGGGCTCCAAGTGCCACGAGGGTTTCAAGGAACACTGGAACACAGAATCACAGAATACCCTGAGCTGTGGGGGCCCACAAGAATTATCAAGCCAGCTCCAGGCCCTGCACAGACACCCCAGCAATCCCAGCCTGGGCATCCCTGGAGCTCTGGCAACCTCGGGGCCTTGCCCGTTCCCTGGGCAGTGCCCTGCACCCTCTTGGTGAAAAAACCCATGTGTATTCACCGCAAGCCAAACCAAGACATTGCGATTATCCTTATTTCAGCCGAGCCACAGGCCCTGGTGTGCTTTAACACGGCAGCAATGAGCGACAGAGACACGGCAGCACGGCCAGCACCGCACGGCTGACACTGACGGGGACACGGCGAGCCACGCTCAGCCCCCAACGCGGGCCCGGCCGCTTCGAGCCCACCTGGGGCTGAAGGGCTCTGCCCCACACCGGGCACGGCCAGCCCGGGACTCCCCAGGCCCTGCAGCGGAAGGCCCGGAGAGGGCGGGGAGCGGCTCAGAGCCGGCCGTGGGCCCCCACCGAGCGGCCCCGAGCCGCGCCCGCACCTGTCCCCTGAGCGGGGGGACCCGCCCGGCGCACCTGCTCGATGGCGGCCTGCACGGCGGGCGCCAGCTCCAGCGCCGCCTCCAGCCCGGCCTCCAGCTCCGGCTCGTCCTCCTCCATGGCGGCGCCGCTTCCGCCGGCAGCGCGCGGGGCGGGGCGGGGCCGCGGGAGGGGCGGGGCCTGTGTGGGCGTGGTTCCGCTGAGTGGGCGGGGTTTGAGTCACAGGGGCGTGCCCCGTGTGGGCGTGGTGCCGCCGAGTGGGCGGGGTTTAGCCGGACGGGGGCGGAGCCTCCGCCCGGCGGAGCGGGGCGCGTCCCGGCGGCGGCGGCGGGAGCGGCGGGGCTGGTCCGGACCGAGCCGAGCCGAACCGAACCGAGCCCTGAAGAGCCAGGCCGAGCTGAGCCGAGCCGAGCCGGGCTGTCCCGCCGCCCGGCCGGCTGTTGACAAGCGGCGGCGGGAGACAGCGCGCTCGTCCCCATGTGGCGGACGCTGGCCCTCGCCTCCGCCTTCTTCCCGGGGCTCTTCATCCTCTGCATCCGGTTGCTGCGATGGGCCGCCCCGGGATGGAGCCTCAAGGACCGCATCCTCCTCAGCGGCAGGTACGGGCAGGAGCGGCGGGAGGTGACGCGCATCGCGGCGGGACCCGCCCGGACCGGGATGGGGACCGGTACCGGCACCGGGAGCGATCCGGGCGGGCCAAGAGCACCGAGCCCCGCCGGCCGTGAGCCTGGGCTCGGGAGTGCCGCGAAGCTCAGGGGGACGATCCTTGGCTGTCCCGAGCCGAGATCCCGTGAGGGGAGCAAGGACCGGCGGCAGGAGCATCCCCCCGAGTTAGAGCATCCTCTCGAATGCCACCATTTCATTCCAGCCCTGCCCGGCCGGACCCCCGCACCGTGGTACCGTTGTCGGGGCGGGGATGCTCCGGTGCCGCTCTGCTCTGCCCACGGGGAACCGGCAGCGTTCCCACCGATCCACGGAGGTGGAAGGGACGGGACACGGCAAGATTCCCCCGGGAGGCAGCGCCTGGCACAGCCACCCCGACACGTCCTGGCCGTGACGAGGCGCTGGGGTGTGCACGGAGTGCGTGTCCGTGCCATCAGCTCTCGCTGTGCCTCGGGATCCTTGTGGGGTCACATTTGGGGTGATCCCTTTCCTCTCTCTCCATTCCAGGCTGGTGTCAACGGTCCAAGCCACGATGGCAACGGTGTCAGGGATCACGGTTGTCCTCAGCTGCAAGAACGTGGTGCATGACAGGTAAGCCACAGCCCACCCTGTCCCACTGTCCCCGTGCCAAGGGTGTGCTCAGCCAGCTCGGGGCTGGAGGGTTTTCTGCCAAAGGCTTGCAAAGGGGAGAGGAAAACCAGTTTCGTGTTCCTCTTTCCCCCACTTGGGCTGGAAGGGTTGGGCAATGTGCTGGCTGTACACCCCCTGAACAGCAGCAGCTTGCTCAGCTTGGGGTGCTCTGCCAGCACAGTCTCCTCCAAAGGATGGGCTGTAGCATGGGCTGTATATGAGAGAAAAATATAGACATGAGCTCTGAAGGGGTAGGAAGTCTCCTTGCTGGAAACTGGAATTGCTACAGAGTCAAGCAGACCCGGAGAGAACTGATTTTAGAGGTGCATCAAGGCATGCCAAAAGGATTCTGAAAGAGTCCAGAAATGGTAAAGTCAGAATGGAGTTTGCTCTGAAGGAAAATCCTGCTGCCTTGTCCTCAGTGCTCTGAGATAAACTGCCCAAAAGTGACTCTCAGAAGGAGTGATAGCATAATCTGGGTCAGAAGACTTAAAAACAGAGCTATTATCCAGACTAGCAGAGAAGATTGCAGGAGGGAAGAATATAATTATGCCGAGCTGGAATTTGACTGTCACACAGGGGTTTTAGGGTGATTTTTAGGAAGGGCTGCCACCTTGGTCATAGCAGACCTGTCTTTAATACACAGATATGAATTATCTTGCTTTGCTCTGGGTAGTGATATCTATCCAGATTCCCCAGACCTGCTTAACCCAGGCAGTCTATGAGTTACCTTTTTGCTCTGAAATAAAACTTCTGCTGTATAGATAAGGCAGATGATGGATCCCAAAGCCACACAGACAGAAGGTGCTGCCAGCAGCCCTCCTTCCCCCGGAGCTGTCTGCCTGCCCGGGTGTACTCAAGGCCAAGGGCTCTGTGCAAACACTTTGTGGGCAGAGACCTAGATTTCCTTTGAATCTGGAGGAAATTGAGCCCAGTGCTCAGCAGGGAAGGCCTCGGAGAATGACAGCAAGACAGCGAGCCAGGAAGCATCACAAAGGTTGCAGTAAAATTTGCCAATTTATTTACAGAGGCAGACAATCGTTATATTGGTGCTGTAATTGCCCTCCAAAGCCCCGGGCAAGTTTTACAAACACAATCACTTGCCACCCGTGCTTCACACCGCTGACATCTTTCCATCTGGAGCAGGAACTCCTACAACAAATTTTTCCTTGGGATGGCAGGAAAGCAAAAAGAGATTTGAGCCCCAAGCTACATTTCTCCGAGCAACAGCATAGGGTGGTTTTGTCTTTTTTTTTTTTTAATCAGTGTGGTTTCACGCAGAACTTTTTAAGGAGGCCGGTGTCCCTGTAAAGCAGGGCTTGCTGCTGCCCAGATTGTGCAACCAGGATTCCAACATGCTTTGGGAACAGGCAGCTGCCTGCAATTATTTCCCAACTGACAAACGCCTCATGGGGGTTTATTGCCTATATTGGATATTTTGTGCTTCACTCTCCAAACTCCAGGCCAACCATCCCTGGTTAACTCTGAGCTCTCCATGTGCTTCCCAAACATTCCCTGGGTTAGGCAGCCAGCTGATCAGTGTGACAGGCAGGAGAGACCCAGGATTAGGGGTTTCCACCACCAAGCACCAGCTCTGGGGGTCGCAGGGCTTAGGGGAGGAGATCACCTGTGCAGAGCTGTCAGCTTGGTGCTGGATCCCAAAAAATGCTGCATCCCTGGCCCGTGCAGCAAACACCTGGCTGTGAGGCTAATCAAGATCCTTCATTAGTGCTGTGTTTGTGCTTGGCCAGGCTGAGCTCAGTGCCTGGCACAGCCCAGCAGCAGCAGGGTCAGCACAGAGGTCCACACTCCACACGTACCAGGCACCTTTTCTCTGGGTCAGCCTGTACCTGCTGAGGCAAACAGAGTTAAAATTCACCCCCTTCTCAAAATCCATTGAAATGCTGCTATTTCAGTCCTGAAGACTCTTCCACCTCCCAGAGCATCATGAGGTGCTCGGAGCTGTTGTGATGCCTCTGTGTGTGCTGCTCCTCCCCAGGCACTGGCTGGCTGTGGAGTACATCTGGGTCCTGGTTCCCTACATGACCTATGACATCTATGTCATGTACCTCTGCCACTGGCACAAGAGCCAGGAGAAGGGGATCCTGGAGAAGAAGCACTCACTGGCCAGCGTGTGGAGCTTCCTGCTGCAGGAGAGGCTGATGGTGACCCACCACCTCTTCATCCTCATCGTGCTCACCCCCATCACCCAGGTAAGGACTGCTGCAGGAATCCAAGGTCCCCTGGACATGCTGGGTGTTGGTTCCTGGCCACCTCTCTGCAGGGCCCCATGCTCAGTGCTGCCTTTCTTTACAGCACTTCAGGGGAGAGCTGGGGGACTTCTTCGTGGGCTGCATCTTCACAGCAGAGCTGAGCACGCCTTTTGTATCCCTGGGCAAAATCCTCATGCAGGTAGGTGAGGAGGGATGGGGGCTCAGGGCTGGGAAGCCCACAGCAGTTCATCCCCTTTCCCTGCCCTGGCTCCATCAGCCCCTCTCCAGAGAGGGTCTCAGAGAGGGGCAGCCCCACAGCTGTAGCCCAGATTTTCCCTGCAGTGCTGCCTTCCTCCCAGTGTGCCACATCCCCTTCCCCCAGCAATCAGCACACCCAGTGGCATCCTGGAACTGGGGGCTGTGCAAGCTGCTTGCACACTTGTTACACACTTCTTGCACACTCATTGCACACTTGTGCAACTGTGTCACCAGCTGCTCTCTCCTGCCTGTTCCTCCTCTGCACCGTGTTCATTCCCACCCCTGCCCTCCTCCATCCCTTCCCACCCCATCTCCAGCCCTCCTGGATGCTCATCTCCCAGCACCACCAGTGCCCCGGAGCGCTGGGGCGCTGCTCACCCCACATCCACCTCCTTCCTCCCCCAGCTCAATATGCAGGACACGCTCCTGCACAAGGTGAACGGGATCCTCGTCCTGGTGACCTTCTTCCTGTGCCGCATCCTCCTCTTCCCCTTCATGTACGCGGCCTACGCCCGCCAGGTGGGGATCCCGCTTTACCTGGTGCCGTTCCGCATCCCCCTGCACTGCAACATCGCCAACGCCTCGCTCATCGCCCCCCAGCTCTACTGGTTCAGGCTCATCTGCCGCAAGGCCGCCCGGCTCTACGGCAGCTCTCCCGCCCACCGGAGCAGATAACGGAGCTGAGAACGGCCCGGGGCTGGCACAGGGGCAGCCCCGGCTCTTCCCCCGGGGAGCAGCGGTTCCGCCGGGCTGCTGGAGCTGGAAGCAGCCTCCGCTCTCCAGCGCCGAGCAGGCAGCACCAGCCTGGGCTAGGAGGGCTTTCCTCCCACGCCGCTCCAGTGCCTCGTGTGCCGGCCTGGAAGCACGACATTCCTTCTGGGATCCAGCTCTGCCGACCCGAGGGTTACACGAGAGGGGTTTGTTCTTGTTCCAGCCCCCCCCGGCGCTGACATCGGACACCGGCGTGCAAGGAGCCTGCGACCGGCGCGGGGATGGGGAGCTGTGCCCGACCTGCTGCAGCCCCAGCCAGGCCTGGAGCTGCAGCACAGCTCTGCAGAGCCGTTCCTGACCTTTACTGACTTCAGCTCTACACTACAGCCCTGTTCGGCCTCTGACCTCCCACGTGCACCTCACCTCCTGCTGCTGCTGGGCTCAAGCTCCACTTAACCCGAGGATGCTTTTCACTACAATTGTCTGACAGTCCTGGGGGGACTCCTGTGATCCCAGCAGGGCTGGAGGGCAGAAGCTCATGCCATGACAAGGCAATGGTTCTGCTCTCTCAGGGCAGGATGGGGACAGGAACCTGCCAAGTCCTTGTCTCTCCAACACACAGGGCACTGTGCAGATTCCTTCCCTGGCAGGGGGTGCAATTTTCCCTCCTCTAACCACAGCTGCTTTGATCTGGCCTGCATCCCCTCAGCAGGTATTCAAAACCATCTGGCACACCCTGTTCTGCTCTGTCCTCCAGCTGGCACCACCACGCCCTGGAAACACCTGTACAGTGGAACCCTCCAGCCCCATCCCACCCCCCATGAGGCTGCCAGGGACAGAACCGGGGCTGCACAGAAGGAACCAGCAACCCCAGAGCAGGATGCTGAGAGGTCCTTCACCAGTTCGGCCCATTTTCACTTTTAGTCACAGCAAAATGGGTACAGGCTCCCCAGCTCACCCTGCACCACAGGATGTGTGCAATCAGATCACAGCTGAGTTCATTCCCTGCAGCCAGCACCAGCCACCTCCTCCTGCAGCCTCCTGTGCCTGCTCCAGGGCAGGGAACTGCACTGGCACAGCCCCCATGCCCAGAGACCACTCTGTGCCTTTCATTCTGTCTGAAACCAGCAGCCAAGCTCTGGGAAACCTGGATCTTTTGGGTGCTGGACCTCGTCCCAACCACAGCTGCTGTTCTAGGGTCTCTTCCGACCGGGTTGTTGTTGCAGAGACGCCGCAGTCACAGTAACCACCGAGACCAGCTGATGTTACAAACCGCCTGCAACTCCTTACAGATGTTGTATCTCACTGTTTTCATTGCGAAAAATGTGCCTTATGTAAGGACCAAAAAAAACCCCAGCCAATGAGGCACCTCAGTTTGCACTAACACTGCCCTATTTACTATCAGGAGACCAATAAAGATTTCCTCTCTGAGTCACACCACTGGCTGGCTCCTCCACGTGCCGTTCATTGCTGGGTGGGGGTGTTACATGTGGGGTTACTGCTGCGCCCCCACCTCCGGGCAGGAGCAGCACACACGGATTTCCAAAGTGCCTGCCATGTCCTGAACTCACCCAACTCGCTTCCCAGCCTTCAACTTGCTTTCCAGCCTCCGGCAGCACGTGGCAAAACCAGCAATTCTCCTGGGACTAGGAGAGGGCTGGTGGCAAAGCAGCCAGAGGGAAGCGATTTCCTCGATGCTGGAGGCTGCTGTGTAAACTCAAGAGAGCCAGCAGGCAAGGCTGCAGCCACAGAACTGGAAACTTGGCTCAGGAACAGCTGTGCCCAGTTATTCCAATGGAAAACCAAAGGGGCTCCTCCTACCCATCTTTATATGGTTACTTCCACTGATAAAACAGCAGGGAGGGAATAAATTCTAAACAAAAATAAGGGTTTATTACAGATCTTACAACATCCAGCTCAGTGCTTTGAGTGTGCTCCCAGCTTGCTGAGTTTCTGCAGGAGGGTGCTGCGCAGCTCCTCGTGCCCCACGTTGTCCGTGATGGATTCCAGGAAGTGTCCCTCGTTGGCTCTGTGCAGAGCAGCACACGGGGACGTGTCAGCCCTGCTGGACACCTCATACTGTGACAGCACCTCCAGGGCCACCACCAGCAGTGGCTCCCCACAGTCCCCAGCTGGCAGCATGGCAGCCACGTGCAGCAGGTGGCAGAACACCTGGATGCAGGTGAAGGACACCTCCTGCGCGCAGGGCTCGGAGGTGGCTCCCGCCGTGGCTTTGATGGAGGCCAGCAGGTCGGTCAGGCTGGCACAGTACAGCTGCACCACGTGCAGCCAGGCCTCGGGGGGCAGCCAGGTGGAGCAGCTGGAGCTGCAGAGGAGTTGGAAGCCCCTGAGGAAGAGCACGGAGAGCTGGAGGTGGCAGGCAAAGGGGCGGAGGTTGAGCAGGGGCATGTGCTGCACGTACTCCAGCGTGTAGGGCACATGCAGCACCTGCCTCTGCAGCAGCTGCTCCACCACGGGTGCCAACCTCTTCCACTCACCACGGCTGCACCAAGGCAGCACCTGGACGAGGGCCACCAGGAAACCTTTGCTGAAGAGATTCACCTCCTCGGGGTTGTCCACGTTGATGGTGAGCAGTGCCAGCATGGTGTCCCTGAGCTCTGGGGACACGCAGCAGCACTCCATCCACGCCAGCAGCCCGCTGCCCGGCCCGTAGGCTGGCCAGGACTGTGATGTCCACTCGTCCTCAGGGAGCCTGCAGATCTCAAACAGCGTCGCTGGGACCTCGTTCTTGAAGTAGTCCCCATAAAGCTTCTTCAGACGGAGCCCCACAGTCCAGTCCAGTGATGCCACCTTCCTGTGGAGCCAGGCCAGCGACTGCACCCACAGCTCCGAGGAGGGGACGGTCTCTGGCCCCACCAGCTCACACAGCTGGCACAGGATGCTCAGAATCAGGTCTTTGGTCTCCAGGGAAGGGAAGAGCTGCTCCCTAGGCTGATGCCAGTACTTGGTGTAACCATCCAGAAGTTTGCAGAGGCTGAGGACAAGTGGGAACGGGTGGCAGGATTTGATCCAGTGATCTTCTGAACAAGATGGTATTCCCAAAACCTTACTGAGGATCTGCAGGCTCAGCTCAATCTGAGGAGAGTCTGACTTCAGATAGGGAAGGACAAAGGCTTTGGTGACTTCTGCAGGTGACACAAGTGGGGTGGCTGAGCCTGGCTGCATGAGAAAGGACAGGAACTGGAGGAATTGCTCCTCTTCCCTCGTTGTGGAAAGCTTCTCCCACACTGCCTCCTGCAGACACCTCACCACCAGGCTGTGTGGCCTGCCTGGATCCTCGTGGCTCTCCAGGAAGCTCAGTGATGGGAAGGAGCAGAGGATTTGGGCAAGGAACTGGTGTGCTCCGAGGTTGACCACAGCAAGATGACAAACCTGCTTCACTGTGGCCTCAGGGGACAGCAGCGTCAGCCTGGCCATGGAAGCCACAGCCCTGGTCAGGCCTTCATCAGAAACACTCTTTGTAATCTGGTTCAAAGTCACATTCAGGTCCTCCTGGAAACCCTCCCTGACAACCTGCACATTCTGGGACAGACCTGGGCCACCCCAGGATGCCAGGACACCTGAGATCACTTTGTTTTTGTCACTTAATGAAAGCTCAGTGTAACACTCCACAATGGCTTTGATCACTTGCATCTGCAGCTCTTGGGCCTCCTTGTCATGGTGGGACGTGGCCAAGTTCACCAGTGTCTCTAGCAGTTTCAAAACTAGCTCAGGGTTCTGGAACAGATCTTTGTTTTTCACCAGGCACTCGACCCAGGCCTTTGAAAAAGCCCAAGTCTTTTCAGATGCAAAAACAGAGCACGTGTCCCCATGGCGGTCCAGCCTTTGTGCAATGATTTCCATGGCAACTGAAGACACAAGGCTGGTGTCCAAATCCTTCAGGACGGCACTGGTGTCCCTGAGAAAGTCCTTGGTGAGCTGGGTCAGCTCTAACACCACCTGTGTCTGGTCGTCTCCCAGGTCTCCAGTCTCCAGGAGGAAATCCAGGTTCTTCCCAAGGGTGGCCAGAGTGTCCAGGAGCCGATAGCTCTCGAAGCAGAGATCCTCAGATCCCCTCAGAGTGTCCTGCAGCTCCTCTCCCCAGGCCTGCAACAAAGTGCAGAGCAACTCCAAGCCACCAAAGAGCTCCTCACGAGAGGGTTTGATCAGGGGCAGGAGGCTCATGCTTCTCTCTGCCTCCCTCACCTTCTCTCCCAGCCCACAGGAGTGGTACTGGCTGTCAGTGTCACTGCTCCAGAGGCTGACCATGGCACTGAGCTTGGCCAGGTGCTCTGTGATGGGCAAGGGGCTGTCCCTGTCCCCGTCCCCTGGCCCCAGCCCAGAGGACAGGCACAGCAGCTCAGCCAGGTTGGCCAGGGCGTAACACCTCGGGCGGGGCTGGGCGATGCTGCCTCGGATCTGCTTTAACCCCTCCAGCAGCACCATCGGCAGCCCTGGGGGGTTCCCAGGGTCACCCTTGAACCTCTTTGGGGGCTGCAGACCATCCTCCAGGGACGGCTCAGCGCCGTGCTGATGGATGAGAGCGCTGAACGCAGACACCGTCGCATCTTCTTGTCCCTCCCTGTGTTTCATCACCTCCCACCACACGTCCAAGAAGAACCTGATGTCCGACGGGGATGTCTCGCTGGAGATGTACTCCACCAGGTCTTCCAGCTGTTCTCGGCACACAGCTGGAGGCAGCGCCAGCAGCAGCTGCACGAAGAGCCGGGGCACTTCCAGCGCCTTGACCAGCTCGAACAGAGCGGTGTGGTTCACATCGGGGATCATCGCGCCCACGGAGAAGAACCCGTCATCCTTCCAGCCCCACTCCAGCGAGGCGGCGGGAGGAGCCGGCAGCAGGATTTTCGCCCAGACGATGGCCACGGCCTCCTTCTTCCAGAGGCCGAGCGCCGAGGGGCAGCGCTCGCCGATCTCGCGCAGCGCGTCGGTGATGGGCACCCCCGCGCGGGGCCAGTCCGCTTTGCGCAGCTCCCGCAGCGGCCGCGGCTGCAGCAGCCGGGCGGCCAGCAGGAAGCCGCCGTGCAGGATCGCCGTCTCCTCGCCCACGGCCCACGGACCCCCGGGGCAGCCCGGCGCCATCGCGGGCCCGCGCTCCGCCGGCTCCATGGCGGCGCCGCGCGATGACGTCACGCCGCCGGCGCGATGACGTCACACCCTCGCCCGCAGCGCCCCCTAGCGGCGCGGAGCTGAGCTTAATTAATCAATTAATTACCCGGCTCCAATATCAACATGTTTAATTC